GTTGTTGGTTTTATTACTAAAGAATTGCAGTCCCATATTAATATTTAATTATTATGATTATAAATAACATAAATTGGATCAATGCCCACTTAGAAACATTCTTGATCACTACAGAAACCAAGTCAAGATGTTTTTATATATGTAGGTATTAAGCTCTCATCTTTTGGACTGTATCATCAATTAGTATTTTATAATGCCTACCGATTCTTGAATAATTAAGCCCTAATTAATTATTATAAGCTACATACATCACGTTGAATAGTTCAAATATATGTACAAAATCAAGTATTTTACTTTTATCTTCTACTATTAATTTTGTTTTTAAATTTGGAAATATATCTCCTCCAAGTGACTTGGTCTTCAGTTTTCCCTCTCCTGCAACAATATATATAGAATTCCACCCTAGCTAACAATTATATAATTGTAGTACCACATATTCTCAATAATCATTAATTCGACCACAAAATTCAAAGAAATGGCAAATGTGATGTTATTATTCCTAAGTATTCTTGCAATAATAAACCGTACTACCCTAATTGTCCTAGCCCATGAGCCAAGCCCTCTTCAAGATTTTTGCGTTGCTGATTTCAAAAATCCAGGTCAGCAGAAATTTGAAAAAAAAATTGATTTATTTCTCTCAATATACAATTCAAGATTTATTTTATACATTTTCTATTTATAAATATTTTGTTTCCATGCAGTTAGGGTGAATGGTTTTGCATGCCTAGACCAAAAGCAAGTAACCGCCGACAACTTCCTTTTCAGAGGGCTGAACATAGCCGGAAACACCTCAAACCCCCTCGGAGTGTTCGTAAACCGGCCAACCGTGCTCGAGATTCCGGGCCTCAACACCCTCGGAATATCCACCGTTCGAGTCGACTACTCTCCGCAAGGGTTGGTTCCGCCGCACCGCCACCCACGCGCCACCGAGATACTCACTGTGCTTGAAGGCACAGTTCTAGCGGGCTTTATCACATCGGATAACGGCCCGGAAAACAGGCTGATCTCGAAAGTACTCCATAAGGGGGACGCCTTTGTATTCCCTTTCGGGCTTGTTCATTTTCAGCAGAACGTCGGTGAAGAAAACGCCGTCACAATTGCGTTCTTGAGCGGACAAAATCCGGGGGTTATTCCGATTGCTAACTCCGTTTTCGGTTCGGATCCGCCGATAAACTCGGACGTGTTAGCCAAGGCCTTCAAGATTGATAAGTCCGTTGTCAATAAGCTACGAGCGCCTTACAAATAATTTTATTTACTAAAAGGAGTGTACAGATTTGTAATAATATAGAAGTGGGGGGTTCTGAAAATAAAGAAGAAAAAATCTGAACAACTGTTGCAGCAACAAACTAAATATATATTCTTGAATCTTGATTGATTGTGTCAAAATCTAAAGGAATCCAATATTAAAGTCAGCATTAACCAATGTTATCAGAACCGGACCGGACACAAAACCGGATCGGCATTTGGGTCACGGTCGGACCGGTTCAACCGGGGTCGACCCGGGTTTTTTAGTTCTTTAAAATTTTCATTATTTTATTAGTTTTTATATTTAAAATTTACCATTTTATATGTTTTTTTTATCTTTCACACACTATTCACTTTATTATTTTTTTCTACATATTTCCTTCATTATTGACCACACGCTTTTTCCATATTTTTTTAATCTCTTCTCTCTCCACGTTTTATCTCGTCTCTCATCTCTCCCTCCTTCCTCATGACTGCACACAGACCTCCTTCTCCTTCATCTTCATCACCTTTTCCATCTTCACAAAATCCACTTACACCCATCAATCTCTCTTACTGACAATTAATTTTTCCCTCTACACCACAGCATATCTACCCCTCTCTCTCCCTTTTCTATTTATCTATTTTTCTTCTTTTTTCATTTTCTTCGTCTATTTCTTTTCTCCCTCCATATTCAGTCACCCACAACTTGTTCCGGTCATCCACGACCAGATTCAACAAATTCCGGCAACCCACGTCCAGATCCGTCAAATTCCGGTCGCCCACGGCCCTACTCCACCCAGATCCAGCCACCCCGCCGAATTCCGCCCATATGCCGCCACCATAGCCACCTTAACGCAGTGTTTTAGACAAGAACCGGAGTCAATGGCCGGTTTCCGGGTTCACCGGTTTTGTCCGGTCGAACCCGGTTTTAGACATTTGGACCGGTTTTTTAGTTTTTCCGGTTTTGGGGATTGGATCGGACCGTTTTCTTCACGGGTCGCGGTCGGACCGGTTCGACCGGCCGGTCCGGTCCGGTTCTGATAACCTTGGCATTAACACAAGGTGGTTGAATATAATAATAATTCATGAAATGAAAGAAGTAAATTAATCAATATATATAGTTCTTATTTTATTTGATTTAATTTCGAAATAGTCAATACATATCGGATACATACACAAAATGACATTAATCAACGCGTATATAAAAATTTTAAAATATAAACGAAATAAAGAATCAAAATCACTACAACCAGTCAACCATCAACATCACAAATTTAAGATTATAATTTTCCACGTTGTTTGTATATGTCTTAATTGACTAGTTAAAATCAATTAATCTTTTTAATGTGACAACCAATTGCTTGGTCCTCTTCAAGTGATAGTTCAGTCCCAAGTATAGTCAATTCACCCCAAAAAAAAATTAAAAATATATCCATCCATACAGAGACTAATTATCTTGGAATAATGCTTTTTAATTATCATATTACGTAAATGGGCACACATTAGAAGCAAACCAATTAACAAAATAAAATTACAAAAAAGGACAAATAAAACAGAACATATTCACATCTAGAAAAGTGAGATTAAGCATTAAGCAAGTGATGCTCTTCAGTTATGGAGTTATGGGTCCACACACCACTTCCATGTGATTAATGGAACACATTGCTGTAAAGACTTTGTTCCCACACTTGTAAAAAAAATTGTAATAAAAAAAAAAAAAATGAAATAACACACAAAGAATATGCCAAGATATTCTTCTCTAAGCGAGTGAAACAAATTTGCAGTTGATTTGACCATAGGACTGACTGACTGCTTTCTGTATGTCTGCCTGCTTTAAGTACTTGAGAACTAATAATTGCAGATTGGTCCAACAAACAAACCAGAAAAAAGATGTCAAGATATTTCCAATGAGCTTCCAAAGTTGTACATATGCTTTCATTTATTGCAATGAAATAGAGTAACATAACTCAGCACACATTTAAATCAAATTGTGCCACGTGATAATATTTAGTAGCCAAAAATTAGGTGATTATTGGCACATAATAATAATCAAGAATTTACAACCAAAAAAAAATAAAGCTAATTAGTTAGGCTGCTGAGTCACACATGTGGCTCACAAGAAAGCCAATTGAACATGAAAAAAGAAATAAAGAAAGAAACTTTACAACTAACTACTCATCTTCATGAATCACGATTCACGGCTAATCAAATCTGCAACTTCACCTTATATTTCTTATGAAAAATGAGTAAAATAAATGCAGAAACTCTGTTTTTTTTCAATACTAAATATTAAATATGACTTGATCTATAAATTTACATGTTAAAGTACAAAGAAAATATTTATAAAAAAAAAAAAAAAGGAACACCCTGTATATCTCTATAACCTTAATAACACACACAATCTGAGGTGAAAGAGTAATTCACAAGAAGCGAAAAACACGAAGTAATTAAATGGATTTTTTATCGCTAAAAGACACGGTACTAGTAGGAACGACGTTCGTGTACATTGGCATCGTTTTACTAAATTTCAATAGCAGTAGCCACGATAACGTTAGCAGAAGCGCAAACGTTCGTCCTCCGATCAGTCCTACAAGAACAATAACACCGAGTATCAAATATTTCCAACTTGTTCCACTTTCAATTTGTTCATCGTGTTTTACGCCTACTTCTTCACTGATTTCCGAGAATCCTGCACTGGAATCATAAATGGTGCTGCGCATCATGCCATCTTCCTCCTTGTATTTACGGCTCGAAACGGATGATGATTCGCTAGCACTCTCTGATTCCGCCACTTCATCGCACAACCAAGTACTGTCTTCATGCTTTTGCGATTCGTCGCACAACGAAGCACTGTCTTCGTGCTTTTGAGATCCGCCTTCTTTCCTTGATTTTTTCGGAAATAAGTTCTTCATCTTTGATTTTATCTTAGCTCCACGTGATTTCCTCTTGAATTCCGCAGCCACTTTATAAACAGACTCTTCTTTCTCCTCCTCCACCACCACCGCCCCCGCCTCCTGCAATTTGATTTCTCTATATTCCAATCGAACGTTAAAACAGGACCCGTCAACTACCTCGCCCTCGGGTTGAATTTCATCCACACGTGTCGCAAAATAATCCTCTGATTCAACAACTTGAATTTCTTGATCAAGAGATTTCGATCCATAGCTCTCCAAAGAAGAAGAACAACCAGGAATCAAGACCACACCTTTATTCTCATCTAACTTAACATCCTTAAATCTCAATAATCTCCGAACACTCTGCACAATCGACTTCAACGGCTTCAACAATCCACCGACATGTTTACCGATATACTCTAGTAAGAACAACAACAAAGCTGACATGGTAATCCCAACAGTCAATTTTTTCGTACACAGCGCCAAAATCACCACCAAAAACATCTTAAAAACCACTAATAAAACCGTATTCGCATCCAATCCCCTTTCGGCGATTTGGTCCCTCTCATCCACGACAAGGATTCTATTAACGGAAGGCGGAGGCGAATGTAACGGACTTCTTAAGGGTGAAGGACAGTGCAAAGGGGAATGCATATGAACAGGGGAATGTGATCCTGTAACTATCTGCCGCGAAGGTGACGGAAAAGGGGTCGGCGATCCGGCCGTAATCGGGACACTTTCGTCATTGAGGGGTGAAATTGGGGGAATTTGATGCTTTTTCTTGGATGATTTTTTTAATTTTTGGCGGTTTTTAATGAAGAGATCAACCAGAGAAGTTGGAAACCCAGTTTCGACGAAAAGGGAGGAGCCGTCGCGCCGCCGCTGAGAGTTGTGGAGGTGATCGTTCACAAATTGGGAAATTCTTGTGCTTTTCACCTTCTTCCATGGGAAAGGCATGGTGAAAACTGAAAAACAGAACCGAATCAAAGCTGATCCAACACCAGAAAATAAAAAAAAAAAAAAAAAATTGAGATGGGAAAATGATTTAATTAGATTTATCTCGAAATGAAAGAACAAAGGAAATTGATCTAAGAAAGAGAAGTTTGGGGGTTTTTCATTTTTACTATGTTCTTACAACATTCGGATTCCAGGAGCAATTTCTGCGCAAAACCCCTTCTTCAAGGTTTGGGAATTGTACGGTCATTTCAAATGAATAAAAAAGCCATTGTTTGAACCGAAGAAATATCGAGGAAGATGATTGATTTTTATATATAAAAAAGGTATGATCTTTGTCTGTCTAATTCCACTATTTATTGGTTACGGAGAAGGGTGGAGAAGATAAAATCGAAACCCTAGAAATGGATTAATTTAAGGAGAAGAGTGAAGGGGGTAATTAAGGCGGTGGCGCGTGAGGAATGAATGCCTTCAACTGTGACAATCGTGGGTGGAGAAAATTAATGGACATTGTTGTTGCAGTTGTAGGTTGGGCTTCTTCTGCTGTACCTAGACGGATTAATTAAGGATATTTAATTAATAATCGGATTAATTAAGGAAATTAAATTAATATTGGGATATTCCACAACTAATAAAACTTTCCCTAAATCAACCCTAATTTGCTTGATTATTTTAATTGCAATCTTATTATAATCTGCTTTTTTCATTTTGTGAATAAAGTTTTTCGTTCAACCACTTGATTTGTCAATTCAAACTTACTAATGAAGACTCCGCAGCGTTAATAACTAATTAATTAGCGTAACGACATCAATTTGATTTTATTGATCTTTAGAATTCAGAAAAAAAATATTAAAGCGTTAAAAATTAAAATAATTAAAATATTCCACATAATTGTCATTTTCAGTTAAATAATATCGACAATTATATTTGATGTGGAATGTGAGATCATACGAAATTGAGGTATGGGTTGATTATATAATTTGGAGATCGACCACTCCATATAACTAATAAATTATTATTATTAATTTTATTTATTTATTTATTTAGAAGAAGTAATACATAATTTGACATGCGTAAGTATAATTGGTGAAGTGTGAAGAGTGGAGACAGTCTAATTTGGACACGATGGCGTGTAACTTTATGCTTTTGACAAAATAAATGTGCTTTTGAAATCGTTAATTATTGTTGCATAAATCAAAGTGGTGAAATTTAAATAAAAAAATAAAATGAAAAATAAAAAATAAAATAATAAGTTTTGGGCCAAACTAATGGCTCTTCGGATCAAAAAAAACGGATTGATCTTTAACTGATGGTTACCTATTAAGATGGGCTCGGCCCAAATATGGGAATATTAATTAACCGGTCAAATTGATTTTTATTAAACTTAACTAGTAATTCACCCGTGCGATGCACGAGATCAATTTTACAGGAAAATTTATTGAAAACTTTGAACAATTGAAAAGAAAGAAATTGATTAAGAAAATTTATCGAAAACTTTGAATAATTGATATATAATACAATATAAATAAAAAAACAGACAAAAAAACAATTTCCATTATATAAACAAAATGTCCCGCGTGGGTATAACTCAACTGGTTCTTATATGGTAAGTTGATGCAAGGTCTTAGAATCGAGTCATAACAGCCGCAGTGTAGGAATCTCAATTCCAATGAGGGTTGGTTTCTTGTGGGACCAGTTCCAAGCCGGTTACCTATCGGGCCGTTGAGTCTCCATGAATTTACATTCCTCCACCAAATACTTGTCGGACCAAGAGATGGACACCCTGTGGGCTAGAGATTTCGTCTTTTGGTGCAAATAAAATAAATGATAATAAAATAAAATAAGAAAATTGTGACATAAAAAATAAGATAAATCATTTGACTTAGAATGTTACAACTATCTTTTTCAATTCACTCGAATCTTAAAATAAAAGTGGTGTTTTATAGAACATGCATTGACATCATCTATAACACATAATACCTTGAGAGTAAACATTACACATTTTTTATTGTTCATATGCAATCATAGATACGCATTACAAAAACATAAATTATCTAAAATTGTAAAGGAAGACAATACAATTTGTACTGAAATACCTTGGATAAACAAAAACTTCATTGAAGTCGCTAGTAAAATTAGCATAAAGAGCGAACAAAATGTAAATATTGCAAACTAAATATACAAAAAAAAAAAAAAAACAAATGTGTATCAAAATACACATTTTTTTGTATTTACCTTCATATTCGTTGAATTTCTTTTGTGCACACTACATTGCTAGTAATATTAGTTATATCGATCGATTCTGAGTTGATAAACATATTTATTTCATATCTACTTTTAACTCTCGATTTGCGGCATATAATTGACTATTTCACCCTAATATTAACACTAATACGACACTAATAACTACTATTATTACTAATACTAAAACCAAAACTGAAAGTACTAATACCAATACTCATATTAATATTAAAACCATCACTAATAATACTACTACCAATAGTAATAATAATACAAATACTAATAGTAATACTATTACTAATACTAATGTTAATATTAATTCTAATACTAATAATAATGCTAATACTAATATTAATGCTAATACTAATACTAATACTAATTATAATATTAATACTAATACTAATACTAATTATAATATTAATACTAATACTAATACTAACAGTAATACTAATACTAATACTAATACTAATACTAATACTAATACTGATACTAATACTAATACTAATACTAATACTAATACTGATATTAATACTGATACTAATACTAATAGGCTAGTACTACTACGAATACAAATACTAATACTAATACGCCAATTATAATATGAATACCAATATTAATACTAATACGCCAATACTAATATGAATACTGATACTAATACTAATATTAATAGGCCAATTCTAATACAAATATTTAATGTTAATAATAATACACCAATACTTATACAATACTAATAGTAATAGTAATACTAATATTAATGTCAATACTAATACTATTACCAATTATAATACTAATATTAATACTAATACTAATACTAATACTAATATTAATATTAATGTCAATACTAATACTATTACCAATTATAATACTAATATTAATACTAATATTGATACTAATACTAATATTAATAAGTCAATACGAATACAAATACTAACGCTAATACCACTGCAAAAAATAATGTTAATTCTAATACATCAATACTAAAACGAATACTAATACCGTTGGATGAAGTTTTCTCTTTTTTTGGGAAAAAGAAAATGACGAAAGGTACATGAAAATTTAACACTAACGAAGAACGTTGCAAAAACTTAAATCACCTAAGTCCTCATTTCGGCAAACTGTCTGACCGTAATTTCATTGTTAGGATTACCCACGTGAAATGTAATACTAAAAACAAATGCATTATTGAATCAAAATAAAGAATGTGTTTTGCTTCAATCAACAGCTTGAGGACTTTATTAATGCTCAAGTGGAGCTCTCATGCACAATTATCGCGAGTTCAAATCTAGAATGTTATGTTCTACCACCCGAAAGGAGCAATGAAGCAATACCGCTCGAGCCAACATTAATGACAATGTCCTTCTCTGAACGAACAACGGCGGAAAGTGACGTTCAATATAATTTCCTAAACATACAGTTAGTATCCCGGTTTTATGTTAATTGAACAAAGAACTTACGAAATTAAACATACAAATCAATCCGAAATAATCAATATAAATTATGACAGAAAACTGCAGAACTTATCGGGTGTTGTGATATATGATATTTGAGTTATGAAAATTTCGTTTAATCTGCATACTCTCTCATAAAACCGTCTTAATTATCCATCAGAGTGAATTCTCCGTACACTTTATTTGATATAAAATACTTGTGATCGTGTGTACGTATAAATAACTTTGTTTAGAACTTTAATGTCTGGTTTTTAACTAACCAATACTATTACTTGAATATTTATCTTGAGAAAGGTAGATTTACTAAGTAATTGAATATGATCAGTTAATATAATTATTTTACCTAAAATATAATGTATTTCATTTAAAAATGTACGAATTTCTAGAAAAAGAGAAAATTATACAAAATTTGGCTTTATGGGACTTTAATCAAATAAAATTGAATGATTTTACTATTTTAAATATGGAATACACTTGCCAATTAAAATTGTACATTTAGAATAACTATAATCTCTATGGTAAATTAAATATTCGTATACATCAAAGCATGTATTTCAGGCATTATTCAATAATACGTTAATTCGTTTCCATTTTAACTGTATCCCCTAGATCATCGAATATGATAACAAATTAACTATCAAATAATTAAACTAATAAGTTTTAATAGTTATAAATATTTAAGGGGTCTTTACAAATAAGTCTATAAATGGGTACTTATTAATAAAGAGATCCAGACAAAAAACTCATTTACCAATAAGTCTACACATGGTCCAAATTTTTGTAAAAGATTAAAATAGCCCCTCATACTTTAATATGCTCCAATTTCATCATTAACTTAATTTAATCTCAATTAGACCCCAAATTTCACAAATTATTCAATTTTGACCCAAATTTTTTTTCAGAAATTTCTTTTGTGCCGGCGGATTCCAGCATTGACCGCCGGTCTCATGCGTTGACTTTTCATTTTCTTTTCTTCCGGATTTTTTCGCCGGTTTCCGGCGTTGACTTTTTCGATTTTTTTTTTTTTTTTTTTTTTGTTTTTTCCTTCTTCTTTCTATAACATTTTTTTTTTCCGTTTAAACAGTAATATTGCTGTGATTGACAGTAATATTAATTATATTACTGTTAAACACAGTAAAATTAACTAAACTACAGTTTAACACAGTAATATTGCTATATTAATCTCCAGCACAATAATATTAACACAACAAAAACTCATTATTATTGTGTAATAGAGTAATATTGCTATGTTGACTGTTCAACAGATATAAACATAATAAAAAGCCAAAAGAATTAATATTACTGTGAGTGACAGTAATATTACTATAACAACGGTAATATTACCGTCCACCACAGTAATATTATTACGTTAATCCGTGAATAACTCAAACAAACAAAAAAATCCAAACAAAATAATAATATTGATGTGGTTGATAGCAATATTACTATAACAGTAATATTACCGTCAACCACAGTAATATTACAATAATAGACATTAATATTATTACGTTACTCCGTGAATAACTCAAACAAAACAAAAAACCCAAAAGAAAATAATAATATTGATGTTGTTGATTGTAATATTATTGTGTTTACAGATATTTTACTGTCAACGACGGTAATATAATTACGTTGACTTGTCAACAAATCAAACAAAATAAAAAAATAACAAAAAAATGAAAAATAATAATATTTAATTTTTATGTCAGTGACAGCACAATTACGGTCAACGTTTAGCGGCGGACATAAAAAAAAATTACTAAAAAAAACAAACGTCGGAGACCGCCGGTCAACGCTGGAAACCGGCAAAAAGAAAATAAAAAAAATAAAGCCAACGCCGGAATCGGCGAAAAAATCTGGAAGAAGAAAAAAAAAATCGAAAAGTCAATGCTGGAATTCGGCGGGAAAAAAAAGTTTTTGAAAAAAAAGTCAAAATTGGATTTTTGTGGACAAAATTGATTAAATTGGGGTTACAATTAAGAATTGGGTATTGACATATACATGAATGTTTCCTTTATTTATACTAAATATTAAAGGGATGGACATATTGGTGAAAGAGATATAGTCCCTAAATCTAGAATAATAAAGATGCTTGGTTGGGGACTAATGCACAAAAACCCCAATATTTAAAACACACTGTAAATTGTTTCATTCGAAAATTACCAATACCTGCGAGAAACATATTTCACATAATTTACATACGTATATAATTCATGACAAAGAATATGTAGAATTCAAAATAAAATGCCTTTATTATTGTAATCAATTAGTTGAGATTACTACTTTATATACATCATAAATTTTATACATTGTTAGAGATAATGTTAATTGTAAGATTTCGAAAATCACCAAAGAATACAAATATATAAATATGTATGTCTATTAATGAATTGACATAAACATGAATTATGTTTCTTTATGGTTTATGTAATAATATTGATACGAAAAATAAAAAGTACGTAAAAAATAAATGGCGATGTACAACTCAAAATGGAAAATATTTATATATGTTAGTAAACAAAATTTTATATTCACTGAAACACCAAAACTAAACACTAAGAACAAACAAATATGAAAGTATTAAAGCAAGTACTAATCTAATTTTTCTTGCATTGTCTTATACAATTATTTTGAATGCTGGACAGAAATATCATGGAATCCTAATTCCACTCATATATATATATATATATATATATATATATATATATATATATATATATATATATATATATATATATATATATAAATAAATGAAATACTAACTAAGTAAGAATAAACAAACCTTTAATGTTATGAAAAAAACAAAGATCCTTATTGTCATTCACACTCGTACATGGTCAACCGTTATTTTCTTACTACATACATATTATAACTAATAAAATTTAAATAATTGTATCAAAACATAAAAAGATAATTAATTCAAAAAAATATTGATTTTAATATCTCATTCAATTGATAAAAAAAATGGTAAAAGAAGAACGCAGTAGTATCATTATTGCATAATTTATGGACATCATACGTAGAAATTAAAATGATCTGCATTTTCAAGATATATCCTTTATGGCAACTTTAAACAAAACCTTTTGATCAGTTAAAATATCAATAATCACCATGAAAATATAATCACCATGAAAATAAATATTTACAAAAATATCGTAGCTTGTAGCTTCTCGCACAATGTACAACTTCACAATGCTGCATCTTGTGGGTGTTATACGGCTACAATGTACAACTTCACAATGCTGCATCTAGTGGGTGTTATACGGCTTTTGAGATCCTACACCGGGTGAAATACACCGGGTAGATCTTTACCATTCATATACACACAAACACACACACACCCACATTGGTATGTGTAGATCAACGGTAAAGATTCACCCGGTGTAACCTTCACCGGGTGTAGGATAGATAAAACCGTGTTATACATATATCTACAAAAACCAAATCAAACTAAAATTAAAATGTATAAAAAACATATATATTCATAAATAAACAGATTCAAATCATTATATGGAAATAATGATTTGAAAGACATTTAAACATTAATAATACATAAAATATAAAAGGCAGACGTAAAAGTAATGAAGAAGTTCTTTTTGGAAAAAATGTATAAATTCTAATAGAAAAAATGGCGAAAGATGGATGGATAGAAAAATGGGGAGGAAGGCGAGTATATTTATACTTGTGAATACTATGTCATTAAGGAAATATATTTAATGTAATAATTTTATACAAATAATGTAATATATTTCACAAGTGATTGATATTCTAAAAAAGGGGAAAAAAAGATTATAATTTATTTGAAATAATTAGAGCCGGTTAATAATGAATACTACCATTTCAGAATCAATGGTGTGCATATATTACGGATTATAAAAATAGAAGTTATTGCATTGTCAATAAAAAAATCTTAATTACGAAATCGGAAATATGTATGACATATCAATCTAAAATTAGGTATATATATTGATATATGTAGATTGATATGGTCAAAATTCTTTTATTTTAAATTGATATGTTTACCATACATGGACATAATTAAAGTAAATGACATTTAATTCTATAAATGTAAAATATATAAATGATTAATTAACAATGTATTAATGATTTATTCCTTTATAATTTCCTAAGAATGATCATCTAAAAACGAAAACTTGATACTACATTCCATTAATTGACATAGTATTGTACCATTAATATGATAATGCATTAATAAAATAAAATTAATGTAAAATTATAAAATAATATTATTATATTGTTTAATTTATTTTTTTAATATTATTATAAAAGAAAACTAAATTTGAAAATATATTATTATAAAAATTTGAGTGTTCTAAATTTATTTAAAACGTGAGATTTAAAATATTTTGAATATTATTTAAAAAAGTACTAAATTCGAAAATATATAGGTATAATAATAATAAAAAAAAAGAGTATTCATACTAAATTCAAAAAATATATATTCAGAAAATTAAACTATAAAAAATATAATATTTTCAAATTTATAGAATATTGAATGCATGAAATATAATATATATGTGGTAATTATTTAGTGATTATGCAAATGTGAAATAGGAAAGAACTTAAAAACATACCTAAATAAAAATGCCAACTAATCAATTGATGAATCCACATCATCAATTGAACTCCAACTAAGCAATTTGGAGATATGACATCATCATTTGCCACATGTCAATCATTGAGGGCATAGATCCTCTTTTTATATTATATATAGATTATGAGGAAAAAAATAATTAAGTGTACTAATAATAAAGTTGTGTTAATTAAGTAGAAATGTTAAAGTGGGCTTCATAGTTATGGGTTGAAGTTGGGCTCAATCTACATCTTACATGGACTCCTGGGCTTATCCATTCAACCTGGGCCTCCATTAACTCAATCAAAATATCTACCTCGGAAATTAAATTTTATAATATGGATTATCAAATTATAAAAAATAATATATATATATATATATATATATAAAAAATATTTAATTAATTTTTGTGTGTGGGTTGAATGGTGAGTAAGATTTTATATCTGCCGGAATGGTGAATTAATTTATGTGCCAACTTTGGGTCATTGCATTCAAATCGCCCCGTTATTTATTTATTTATTTATTTGTTAATCGAAAACATAGTTGTGGGGTATTTTAATTTATATATTAACTGATATAATTTATTGGGCTTCAATTCATAGTTATGGGCTCCATTTACATGTTGCATGGACAGCTGCGGTTATCCTTTCCATTCAACAACTACATTTGGTCCTGCAACTGCCACACCTTTCAAATGGAATTCTCTCCATTCAAATTACCTACTTCCCCACAAATAATTTTATAATCAGGTTAGTAGGCCCATCTTTAATGTATTTATTTATTTATTTATTGATGCTTTTTTTCACACGTTTTTTTGGAGCATATACATGTGTATATATAGTTATATACAAATATCTAAGGGTAAACTACAACAACTGTGAGGTACTGTCAAATTACGAAAAACCTTATCTTGTTTAGATAATTACATCTACCTCTTATGGTGTTCAATTCAACATAATTATCTAAATTCCGTGAATGTGCTCTAGTTAGTACTCGATTTGTGTAAAATAATACAGTTTCTGATGCACCACTATCTGATATATACAAGCCAAAAAGCACATCTTATGTTCATCTTGCTTCAAAATTTGGATCTTGAATGGGATAAAACGGGTACAAAAGTGCTAATATTCCATATAATCAAGAATATTCCAGTAAATTAGAAACCGTAAGGGTGAACATGTAAGAAAATTTATAGTTGATGGGTTGTTATAATTATCCAAACAAAATGGGGTTTTTTATAATTTTATCGTAACTCATGGGTGATTATAATTGAACCAATATCTAAACTATAGGGTAGAGGTGTTTATTGTGTTCTTTTTTCAATATATAAAATTTTAATTAATTTATGTGCCAAAGTTTTCAAATAGTAGTACAATTTGAAGGGACTTGAAGAAAAAAATAATAGCTGTGTGGGGGCAGTCAAATTTATTGTGCAGCACAGGCTTTTCTTGTTGCTTCATTACCGTCCATATAAATTATTCGTACTTAATTTTTGGTTCTGTAATAAGAAAACAATAAAAAGAAATACATGGTCCCGCAAAAGTTTGTGAAGTAGCTACTGTGGAAATATACAATCAATATTGATGCCTAAGAAAATAATCGAAATATACAAATTGGGTAAAAACTAAAACTTAGCATATTTATTGTTTTAATAATGACAATTAATCATAAATTTATTTATCTTTTAGTAAATTTTAATTTATCAATCAACATTCAGCACTAGTGCATTTAAAATAAATATGCCAACAAGTCAGTAAAATAAATACTACTATTTTTATATGCTAATTAATAAAATAGAGTTTTGTATATTCTCTCTATTTCTTTCACTGTAATTTTTTTTAATTATTATTATTATTATTATTATTATTATTATTATATCTTTAATGCGGTCTTTATATATAGATATGACTCATGCACCAAATCAAAAGGCATATACACAACAACGGATAACTAAACGGTGTCGTAACTGCACCGGTCGGCAACTAAAATGGGAAGTTATCAGAAGCAGCAGTTGGTACTGTTGATAGCCTCTACGGTTGTTCTTAGTGCAGTAGCACTTGTTTCTGCTAATTCCAGATCTCCGCAGCTGCATAATAATAACAATGATCAACATAAGTACTGCACGTGCAATGAAGCATTCATCAACCGTAGAGGATTCCCGGACGGGTTCATCTTCGGCTCCGGTTCAGCTGCTTATCAGGTCAATTTTTCATTTTTAATTTTTTTTAATTTTTGATTAATTGTAGAAATGTCTGTTAAAAAATGGATTTTATTGACACTTAAATTAAATTTAGGTTGAAGGTGGATACAATGAAAGTGGGAAAGGTACTTCCATGTGGGATCATTTCACACACACATATCCAGGTTCTCTTTAATTAATTATTTAATTAATGAATTAATTAATTCTAATATTGATCTCACTCATAATTAAATGTGTAATATTCACTAAATAATTGCAGACAAAATACAAGATGGTAGTACTGGAGATGTGGCAGTTGATTCATATCATCTATACAAGGTCTTTTATCAATTTAAAAAAAAAAAAAAATTTGGACCAAATTAATGGTACCCATTTGACTTAATTTTGTATTTTACAGGAAGATGTGCAACTTTTGAAGAATATGGGGTTTGATGCATATAAATTCTCAATATCTTGGAGTAGGATATTGCCAGGTTGTTCCTAATTTTGAAATAATTAGTGTCAATTCTCTAAGTAAAATGCTGATTCTGTTTAAGTTAATTTAATTTGTTGTTCATAATTTTGTTTAACAGAGTGAATGTTTACTCCACAATTTTAATTTCAGGTGGAACAGTAAGTAAAGGTGTGAACCAAGGCGGAATCGACTACTACAATGACCTAATTAACGAGCTTTTAGCTAACGGTGCGGTTAAGATCCATCCATCAATCCTCGATTTTTTTGGCTAGTCGATCGATATCTTCAATTTATCGATTAGTTTAGTTAATCTTTAATTGTGGTGCATAATATAATGTGCGTACGTAGGTATACAACCATGGGTGACTATTATGCATTTCGACACTCCGCAAGCTCTAGAAGATGCGTATGGCGGTTTTTTAAGCCGTCGAATTGTGTAAGTAGTTCAAGTTTATTTTATTGGACTAAATATAAGCTAATAATTAATGACAGGGTGTTCATTAATAATTATACACAGGGACGATTTTCGAGATTTTGCGGATCTCTTGTTCGACCAATTTGGTGATAGGGTGAAACATTGGATGACTGTAAACGAACCGTGGTGCTTCAGCTATCTCGGATATACACTCGGTGTGTTTGCACCCGGTCGATGTTCCGACTCGGTGTCTAGTACTTGCACCGGTGGTGACTCGGCAGTCGAGCCGTATATTGCGACACACAATCAGCTTCTTTCTCATGCTGCTGCTGTCAATTTGTACAAAACTAAATATCAGGTATACATACATACATACATACATACATCAATTTGTAGATTAGTCGTTTCGATTTTTATTGATAGGATATAAGTAAAAATGCAGGAAGTACAGAAGGGTAAGATCGGAATAACGATTAACTCGTTCTGGTTTTTGTCTTACAATGGAACAAGGGAAAATATGGATGCTAGAGATAGAGCATTTGATTTCATGCTAGGATGGTGAGTTTTGTTATTACAAATGTGTTGCTACAATTAAATAAAAATAAAAATTACTAAATTAAAATTTCATTCATATAATCAGGGTTATGGATCCGATTACATTTGGGAAATATCCAGATAGCATGAGAAAGCGTGTCGGAAACCGACTGCCCGAATTCACTAAAGAGGAAGAACAAATGTTGAAAGGATCAATCGACTTTCTAGGACTCAATTACTACAGTGGACAGTACGCAATTAATATACTTCGTGATCCTAATACCGACGATGATGATGATGCCGTGAGCTACGTTACAGATTCCGGGGTTATTTTCTCGGGTAATTAATTATCTATTATTGCATTTATCTTCAAATTTAAATAAAAATAGTTTCTCATCAATTAATTTTGGTACAGGACTAAAAGATGGCGTCCCTATCGGGGAACAAAGTAGCAACGGGAGTCGGTATTACAGTTATCCAATGGGAATCCGCGCAATTCTCAACCACATAAAACTGAAATATAACGACCCTGTCATTTACATTACTGAGAATGGTAATTACAAGTCGATAAATAATGTTTACTGATCATTATTAAACCTGATAATAATTTAAAGTACTTACGAGTTACGATGATGTCATCGTTTTTACGCAGGCCTTGACGAGAACAGGAACGACAGTTTACCAATGTCTGAAGCGATTCAAGATCACAGGAGGAAGAAGTACTTGTTGGATCACCTCTGCTGTCTGCGCGAAGCAATTAAGTAAATAATTAATTAATTAATTAATTACTTCATTCATTCAGTGGTATTTCCTAATTTGTTTTCTAATTGTCTTTTTTAATTTTTTTACGCAGGGATGGTGCGAATGTGAAGGGATACTTCGCATGGTCATTGACAGATAATTACGAGTGGGCGTCTGGCTTTTTAATTCGGTTCGGGATTCATTACGTCGATTTCAAAGATAAAAATTTAACAAGATACCCGAAACTTTCCGCGCAGTGGCTCAAAGCTAACTTTGACAAAACAACAACTGATCGAAAACTTCAAACAAGAAGAATTTACGATCAGTAGTAACAAGATTGAAAGCAAGTGCGTTTGTTTGTTTGTTTGATCAATAAGATTCATCGTCTTCGAATAAAATGTTCTTTTATCGTAATTTTACTCGTGTTTGTTTGATGGACTGGAAATAATTCTCAAGTATTACTACATTTATACGTACGTTTAAAATTCGATCACTATAAAAAATTTAAAACAAAAGAATCATCTTACTCTACTTCAAGAAAAACATACGTATAATTCAATAGCTAGTTTTCGGAAACGAGTGTTATGTCCCGGAAAACCTGCAGCCTGTTCCTACGCTTTATAGATTTGTCGGACCCGAAATCTTCTGAAGATGGAGTCCCCATATCTTGGTCTTCAAAGTTGAAAACTTTCGTTGTTAATGGCGAGGTACAATGAAGATTCGCCGTGTCTGAATTCGGATTCTGATCGAAACACAGAGACCGCCTAGCTGTTGATTGGTTCGTCTGTACGGCGGGTTTCTCCGGTTGAGTGAAGTATCCACTTCCAAGATCAATCCTTTCAATCTTCTGACCTAATTTCTTGACCGAGTCGAGCGGTTTAGGTGTCTCGTGAATTATGTTAGAGTTCACATTCTCATCATTAAACCCTTCTTCTTCTTCTTCTTCTTCTTCAACCATATCGGCCCAATTTTTGTGTTCACATTTCGAAAACCCGCAAGTTTTTCGATAACCTTGAACTGTGTTTTTCTTATCGGGTGTTTCTTCTTTAGTTTTTCTACAGTCTGTAGAAGAAGATTCCGATTCTGAAGGCAAGTCAGATTCTTGATCTTTAGTTTCTAAGGGTAACTTCACAGTTGAATTCTTTCTCCAATCTCCACCGTCGAACGGAGGACGTTTTTCCAAAAATTGCGGTACAATTCTTGGCGTCTCGCTCAGAGGATGAACGTTGGAATAGTAGTTTACGTTTTGGTTCACTAGCGACTGCCCATTTTCACTACCGACAAATGACCCAAAGCACAACTTCCGACAAGAAAATCCATTTCCATTTTCTGTGGGCCCGCCCATTCTCGAACGTCTCTGTGGCTGGGTCAAGGGTACTTTCGGAATAGTACGATTGCAAGGAGTTTCGTGGGCCCTTTTGAGCTGAGAAGAAGCTTCTTTCTGTCCCATGTTGTTAGGCTGACACTGATTTGTTCTCCAATTATTAGAATCGGCTCTTTTCTCGTAAGGAAAATCGGTAAACGCTCTTTTCTCGACAGACGGAGATTTCTGCTGTGACTCGAACTCGAGCAGGATTTGATAGGCACGCTCGTACGATTTGACATGCGTCTCGTCTATACGACCATTGTTGTCAGAAGTTGCTTGGAGCAGCAACTTTGCTTCTGTCAACTTGTTCATGTGCATCAAGCATACTGCTAAATTGCACTGCTTGTTCTTATCCGATTCAAACGACAGCGCTTTTCTGCATGACGTAGAAAACATAGCGACGAACACACACACATTTTAGATAAGATTTAAGACAATAAAAAAATTAAAAAAAAATCCTTTCAGATAACATCAGAAAAGAAAGACTACCTATAATGCTCTTCGGCGCACTTGTAGTCTTTCTGCTGCATGTAAGCCCAACCAAGATTCCCTAACAACCTCGAATATTCCTTTTCGACGGTGATGTGAATCTTCTTTCCTTGAGACCTTGCCATCTTTGTCCGTTTCCCACCGAAAGCGATTCCTTCTTCTAATTGCTTCAGTTTTACCTGAAGCATTACAATCTCCTCCTCGATTCTGCCAGATTGCTGCATTTCAATCATCCACTATTATTCGTACCTCGTCACGAAACAATAAAATTCGTTAATAATATCACGAAAAGATTAAATTTTTATACCTTGTACAGTTCAACTAATATGTTGTCAATGGATTCTTGAGATTCAAAAGGGCAGAGATGGCGGAAAGATTTGATGGCTTCGATTGCTTCGTCGGAACGGTCCAATTGTTTCATAACAACAGCCATGTCTTTTAGGGCACTATCGACTCGATCACCGGAATTTATCGCAGCCCAGAACAGAGAAATAGCTCTGCTTGGATCTTTGTCTATCAGCTGTTATTTCCAGATTCATTAACCATTCAATATATAGAATTTACCAAAAACAAGAGCAATACATACTGATGATCAAGAAAATTAAAATTGAAAAAAACAAGAAAATGAAATGGAAAATCAGAAATTAACTGAACCTGTGCATGTTTGGCTCTGACATAGGGAGAATCACCAGAAGGGACTTTGTGAATGATATGAAAGGGGCAATCTTTGGATAGAGGTTTCTTCTCCGATCCGGGCATCACCGGAGAACACCTTCTTGTCCGCCATGTGGGCGGCGGCGTCAAGAACCCTCGCGGCTGAGAGCTGTAATCACTGCCGTTCGACATTGTAATTTTCTTGATGAACCCTTTAAACCCTACACAATAAAAGACTCTACTGATTGATCAAGAAAAGAGTTGCGTATATCAAACAAAATAAAATCGAAATAATCTTTTATTTATTTATTTAATTTTTATGTATTCTGGAGAAGGGAAAGGGTTTACAGTAATAATAAAAAAGAATTTATCGGATTGAAGAAATTGTGAATCGAGAGAGAAGAGGAGAAGAGTCCGATCATCTGTGATGAAAAGGTGTTGTTAACTAGCCGTTAAATAAGTATACGTTGGTAAAAGGCGGCGTCGTTTCGTTCTTTTCTTTTTTTCTGTTACCTTTTTCTTTTAATCCTTTTTCATAATTAATTTCCCAACAAATTAATTATTAAATTTAATAGTTAATTTAATTATTTAATTTGTTCGAATGTTGTTGCTTCCCTCCCTACTTCAATTTGTAACGGGATTTGAATTTCTAATAAAAAATAAAAAATTATTAACTCCATTCTGGTTTGAATAAGAATTATTATTTAAATCAATTTGTACTATACAGATTTTAAGTTTGTATGTAAATTAATTACAGATTTTTTAATAAAAAAATAATTTTAAAATCATTATATAAAAAAAAAATGAGTGCCACATTTTAGGGATCCTGTCTATTGATCAACAATTTAATTGAGATCAATGTAATAGAAATAACATATATTTTTATTAAATTACACAAAATAGTAGTGTAAAACCAATTTATGTCACACGAAAGAAGAAAGAAAACGAAAACGAAAAATTGTCGATGAATGACGATCAATTTCGAATTTTGAAGATCCCAACCCCACCTTAAATTAAATTTGATCCTTGCCGGAGAAATAATGCCGAAAAACACACGAGAAGTCCTTTGTTCCATGTCCTTCATTGCAAACTTGTGTGAATCTGCACAGTAATTAATTTTAGTATATACATATCAACAGATAGATTCGATTATCGGACAATATATAATAGCATCGAATGAAAGGGTAACAAAAAAATAACAACATTATTTAAATTACATTTCTTCGGCTAAAAATGTCATCGGACTTGTTGCCCCGACTTGTTTGGCGGATACTGCTGCAAGATTTAGATCTTTCGCCTACATCCAAACACAACAGTATTTATATATTATGTTGTTGTAATATAAAGCATGACATCAGCTTATATATATACATATATGCGTATATTATATACCATCAGTTTGGTAGCAAAACCGCCATCGTAGTCCCTGGAAGCCGGGACCCCATCCATCACTCCAGGCACAGGATTATAAGTATCACTGATAAGGATAGATAACATACTACAAATTAATCTATAGTACACTTGTGAATAAAATAGAATGAAAGAAAAAAAACGAAGATGATTTTGGATTTATCGGGGAGATATTTATGTATCGAACAAAAAATTACCTACTCCAAGAACGAGCACTGGAAGAGTTAAATATGTTAGTCAAAGTAGTGGCTTCGATACCCAACGACTGCCCTAGTGCAAATGCTTCTGATACTCCAAGCATACTCACTGCCATCGCCAAATTGTTGCATATCTTTGCTGTCTGTATTATTTTATACAAAAGATATTCAAGTCAAGAAAATCGATAATTTTCAGTTAATATATAATTTTTTTTGCAATAGATAGGGAATTAGCAAAGAGTAGCGTACCGCACCATTTCCTGGACCACCACAGTAAATGATGTTTTTTCCCATCGAGAGAAACAGAGGTTTTGCCGACACGTAAGCTTCTTCCGATCCACCTACCTGCAAAAAAATCTTAGTTGTGTGTGTGTGTGTGTGTGTGTGTGTGTGTGTGATACAATTCCACCTCTACCAACTCATTTCCAGGAAGAAATGGAAGTTAATTAAGGATAATATATCAATAAACTGACTTTTATTAAGTCAGTTATTATATTTTAGTTATTCCATGTGTTTAGGAGTTTATCCATAAACTGACTTTTATTAAGTCAGTTATTAGATTTCAGTTATTCCTTATGTTTAGGAGATTAGTTTTGTGTTAATTTAGTATAAATAGTTAGTATTTGTTCAGTTTTTAGGGATTGGGAATTAGTAACTTGTATGAATTTCTGGAGTTTTGTCCTCTCCATACGGACAACTATATATGGTATATTATTGTGTTTAAGATTCTTGCACATAATCGGCCATCGTTATTTACTATTCTCTTGGATTGTTCTCGATTCCTATCAGTGTGTGTGTGTGTGTAATGTTGGAACGAGACTCTAGAAAGTGTTTGTTTAATGTTTATACCATGAAAGTGAGCGAGCCTGTCTCGGCAGATAAAACACCTCCGGATACAGGAGCATCCAACATAGAAATTTGTTGACCTTTCAACAAGAATAAAATGCAACGCTGAAATGACCGACCGGGATTTAAATAAAGGAAAAATATTGTAATATTTCTGTTAAACAATGTTAAAGAGTAGTTAGTACCTCCCGAGCCCGTCAAATTGGAATTAGAAATGGAAGCAGAAAGGTTTCTCGATGTTTGAGGATCAATAGTAGAGGAATCTATGAACAAACGAGATCTAAGCAGATTCCCGCTACTAAGCATACCTTTCGGTCCCGTATAAACATCCATCACCTGCAAATACGAAACAACTAGGTTTGTCCTAATTTTGGTCGGTTTAAATGACAAAATCTTCAAACCAAACCATTTTAAAGCTTACATGGGCCGAAGATGGCAACATAGTAATTACAGCATCACTTGCTTCAGCAACTTCGAGAGGTGAATTCTTTGTGAGAATGCCTTGCTCGGAGAATTTCTTCATCGCATCTTGGTTTCTGTATCAAAAGAGATGTAAACATATTGAAATCGGATACGCTAACATCAAATAATTGAAACTATGTCCGTTTAGAAGTAATTGAAAGTGATTTTAGTCAATTCAATCGTCCTCCTCCACAACGACAAGTCGACAACTCGTGAACTGGTACAATTTTATAGACTACACAATTATATCTTAACAAAAGAAAATACGAGAAAATGAAATCAAAATTACACATCATGGACCACGACACTGTATCCGGCTTTAATCAAGTTAACGGCCATCCGGGATCCCATGTTTCCCAGTCCTATGAATCCAACTCTCTGTAATAATAATATACCAATAAAACCAGAAAATCATATCAATCAAAATGCTGTCTGTTGGTATCGAATAAACTTTACGATATTATCGATTGAAATCGTAGCGAAAACACCAGTGCCTACTTCAAATTGATGTGGAACCCTAGACAATGTTTTTCTTGCCCATGCAGATTTATAAAGAGAATCCAAAAACGAATATACTCTCAGTCAGTCAACAAGGGGTAGCAATTACAATGATACAGCAGAAACCCTAGACAATGTTTTTCTTTTCTTTCTGTTTAAGAATCAGAATTATGAAAAGTGGGCTTAAATTCACAAGCACGAACAAACTAGGGCGTGATCAGACATGTAACAGAAGCTGTTAACAAGCACTATTTCTCATTAACACATCTAATTTGTTAAGATTTCCAACAATTAAACAGTTTCAATAAATAAATTAAAAAAAAAAAAAAGGAAAACTTACATCAAATTGAGATGGGGGAGATGACGAACAAAACAAGCGAGCCCAAGAAGTGAATTCGGGTCTGCGTTTGTTAAGACAGAACAGCAATCTCAGTCTGTAAGTAATAGAAGCCGCCATTGTTGAGTTTCTCTTTTCTTAACAGAGAGAGAGAGAGAGAGAGAGAGAGAGAGAGAGAGATCACTCAATTTCTTGAAAAAGAGAATAATTGTTTATGGGAGAACCAGTGGCAACTCCGCCGCCGTCTTGTCGTTTTATATGCCACTTCTCGGATATTACTTTCTTACCGTCCAGTAATTTTGAGTTGTCTAAGGACAGTAACTTTTCCATAAATACAGGTAAAACACTGTCAAAAACCCAGTTGTACATATTTTATGCATAATTTCAAATTTAATAAAGTTTTAAGGAATATTACGGCCAACCCCTGAGGGTAATGTTAATTTACAAGACAGCCCCCTACAGTTTGAATAATTACAACCACCCCTCAATTATGAATTTTTTTAAACGTCCATCCTTACCATATCAAATTCAACAGAATCTTCTAGATTCCGTACCCAATTGGTGATAGGTGGAAAATTTTAATAATATATATATATATATATATATATATATAAATATCATGCATCTACATACCATGTAATAAGCAAGCAATTGAAAGGGAACCTTGGTATACAACATCAAGAGAAGTCCCAATTTACAACAATGGTTGAAAAAGAAAGAACCCACAAAAAGAAGAAAAAAAAAAACAGACTAAATTCCTAGTTCAACTACTTAAAAGAAGGGGAGATCAATGAGCTATATTTTGATTCCCATTTTCAGACAATCGTCCACCAAAAAAAAAAAAACACAAACTAAATCGAAGAAAGATCCTCGTACACAGTCTTGATACCAGGCCTCTCAGACACGGAACGAATACACCGGAGCGCAATCCCAAGCACCTCCTTCATCCCCTTATCAGCCATCGGAACACTCATCTCCGACGCAAGGTCAGCATCGAAACAATCCGATCCTTTACCTTCTGCAACCCTCAACCGAACCCAATCGGTCAACCCAACTCCGCCATCAGCGCCAGAGACAACATCTCCGGCACACTTTCCGGTGAGAAGTTCCAGCAAAATCACTCCGAAAGCATAAACGTCCGATTTGAATGAAGGCAGTGGCTTCTTGGAAGCAACGAGCTCTGGAGCACGGTAACCCAAAACTCCGGCATCGAGAATCTGTTCGATGGTTCCTGATTGGGTCATGAGGCGGTGGAGACAGTAATCCGCCACCCTGGCGTTGAGATCGGCGGGCCCGTCTAGTAGTATGTTTGTTGCTTTGAGGTTTCCGTGAGGGACAGCACGGTCAAAATGGAGATAGTTTAGGCCACGTGCTACGTCCACTGCTATCTTGAGCCTTTGTGCCCATGTTAGCGGTGGGCCCTTTCTTCCGGGGCGGTCTGGTAGTTACAAACTTGTTAAAAAAGGCGTAGGAAAACATAACCACATATATACTATACAATGTAACTTCATTCAAGTGCGAACACGAACTTCAAAAATTGCTTGAGGAATTTTGAAGAAAATCCAAGAAAATTTTCACAAGAACAAATATTGACACCGAGTTCAGATGCAAAATCATGAGTTAAACAAAAAAGGCATAATAATTTTTCGAGAAAGTAGCTGAGTTATTACCGTAGAGAAAGCTAGCAAGACCACCGGGAGATATATAGTCCGAAAGAATAAGCTTTTCATGCTGCGTGGGCCCCCAGTAGTACCCTCTCAAGCCAACAACATTCGGATGTCTTATGTTGGCAAATTTCTTAGCTTCTTTAGCAAACTCCTTTCTCTGCTTAGCAACACCTTCCCTCAACCACTTTACAGTTAAGAACATCCCGTTTTCCAGAGTAGCTCTATAAGATGTACCATGGCTGCTTCTTCCAAGAACTTCCGCTGGGGCCCGCGAAAGTTCCTCTGCCGTAAATGCAATTGTATCATCTAGAAAGTACAGCTCACCCGCCAGTCGATCGGGCGATCTGACATCCAATCTCGAAAGGCTCTCAACAGTGTATGAATCGCCGGATTCGGGCGACCACGAGAAGTGGCTTCCCTTCGATGGGGAGAAACCAGCTACAGCTGTCATTTTCTCCTCGGGGGTAATTATATCCGACGATGATTCTTTTCTTGGTGTCACGAAATCCTGGGCCGAGACCACCACGCCACCGCCACTGCCGCCTCGGTCTCTTCCACCGAAGGAGGAAGGATTTGTTGAAGCTTGGCGGCTGACATCTTGGCTGGTCCTTGTGGCAGCGTCCTTTTCGATCTTC